GGGTTCCTCTTTCCCTACAACCCTGCCAGCATTTGTTATTGGTTGATTTCATGATAGCAGCCATTCTTTCTGGGGTGAGGTGGAATCTCAGAGTTGTTTTCATTTGCATCTCTCATATGACCACTGAAGTTGAACATTTTTCATATGTTTATTTGCTATTTCTACTTCTTTGTCTGAGAAATGTCTGTTCATTTTAGATGCCCATTTTTGAATTGGGTCTTTCAAGTTGGGAGGGCTGATCTTTTTATGTTCTTTATAGATTCTAGATAGTAGACCTTTGTTTGAGGAACAGCAGGTGAAAATTTTTTTCCCACACTATAGGTTGTCTCTTCACACTGTTGGTGATTTCTCTTGCTGTGCAGAAGCTTTTTAATAAGAAGAGATCCCACTTGTTGATTGTTCGTGCTAGTTTATGGGAAGCTGAGGTTTTGTTCATAAAATCTTTTCCTACACCAATGTCTTCAAGAGTTCTATATAACCTCTGTTCCAGCTGGTTTAACATTTCTGTTTTAATATTTAGATCTTTCACCAATTTAAATTTTAGTTTAGTGCATGGTGAGAGATATAGGTCTATTTTTAATCTTTGGCAAGTTGAAATCCACTTTTTCCAGCACCATTTATTAAAGAGGCTATCTTTCCTGCAGTGAGGATGTTTGGCTCCTTTGTCAAAGATGAGGTAGCTGATTGTGTCTGGCATTGTTTCTGCATCTTCTAATCTGTTCCACTGGTCCTCAGGTCTGTTGCTTTGCCAGTACCATGCTGTTTTTATCACAGTATTTTGTAGTATAGTTTCAAGTTGGGGATTGTGATACCCCCTAACATGTCTCTATTGCCTAGAATTGCTTTTGCTATTCTGGGTCTCTTCTTGTTCCAAATGAATTTTTGGATTGTTTTCTCAAGGTCTGTGAAGTATCCTGCTAGAATTTTAATTGAGATTGCATTGAATCTCTGTAGCAGTTTTGGAAGTATGGCCATTTTCACTATATTGATTCTTCCTACCCAGGAGCAAGGGATGTCTTTCCATTTTCTGATATCATCTTCAATTTCTCTTTTCAGAGTGCTATAGTTTTCAGAGAAGAGGTCTTTGATTTCTTTTGTTAGGTTGATTCCTAGGTATTTCAGATGCTGTTGTGAAAGGAATTGTTTGATCTATTTCTCTCTCAGTCAGTCTGGTGTCCTTGTAGATGAAAGCTATTGATTTTTCTGTGTTGACCTTGTATCCAGCTACTTTCCTGAATTTGTTTATTAAGTCTAGAAGACTTTTGGTGGAGTTCTTTGGGTCTTCTGTATAGAGCATCATGTCATCTGCAAATAATGATGATTTGACTTCTTCATTTCCTATCTTTATTCTTTTTTTTCTTTCTCTTGTCTAATTGCTGTGGCTAATGTTTCCAAGACTGTATTGAACAGGAGTGGTAATAGTGGACATCCTTGTCTTATTCCTGATTTTAGTGTGAAACATTTCAATTTTTGACCATTTAGTATGATATTGGCTGTTGTTTTTTTATAGATGGCTTTTATCAGATTGAGGTAGAGACCATTTATTCCAATTTTTTGTAGGGTTTTTATCATAAATGCATTCTGGATTTTGTCAAAATTCCTCATACCTTAAAATCCTGAGCTGCTAGATTTTGACTTGTCAATAATTATGCTGGATTTTTACTTTCCTTTATAATTTTCATTTCTATATTTAGCTACTATGCACAATTTTTGCCAAATCACAATTTCTTCACCAGAGTTGGTTTGTACTGTCCCCTCAGTAACAGTATTGAATCTGGAAAATTTAAGCAGAAATTACTTTTCTGAATGAATAGGGATTATTTCAAATATTCATAGGGAACAAGTCTCAGAAAATAACCAAGTACCAAATAATTAAGTACCAAGGAACATAGTCAAGGTAATTCTTAAGACCATCACTCTTGACATCTCTGCAAAACTGTCAGAACTGCATCACTAAAGTCAACTGTGCAGGCAACCCACATTCCAGTCCCCCTTCTGTCTCTCTTAGGCAGAAGCTTTCTTTCTCCCAATAAATTTTTCCTACTCTTAACCTCTTTTGTTCCTAGAATTCATTCTTTGATTTTAGAGAACATGAACTCACGTTTTGGATATCTAGTAGGTTTGGGAGTTGCATCTCTTCCCCCCACATGATTTTGGAGGTCTTCCACTGAGATTACTGGTCGGAGGCAAGAGTTTGCTTTTCTTCCATAGGTTCTAACTTTGGTCTTTTTGCTTCATATATTGTAACTTTTTGTTTCATAGGCTCTGGACATTTGTTTCATAGATTCTGTTTTGTTTTTTTTTTTTTCATAGATTCTGGTTTTTGTTTCATATAAATTCTGGTCTTTGTTTTGGCTTTTGTTTCAAAAGTGTTTTAATTTTAAGTTGTGTCTTTTAATATTTGCAAATTTCTTGTTTTTCTTATGAATTTTCTTTTGTTAAAATTACGTTTTATTCTTGTTTTGTATGTGTTGCATTTGGAACTGTTGCTTAAAAACGTTGTTTCATGAGAGATCCATGAATCTCTTATGAAATCTTCTCAGATAAAAACAATTCAGGCTTTTATCTGTCCCTACATAATGTCAAACTGTGGTTACTCTGCCAGCTAGTAATTGCCTTTAGGGCAGCTGCCACTCTCAAAGCAGAGAACAGGTTTCTCCAGTTGTCCTCTGGTGAATCCCCACTCCCATTGATGCCAATGGCGGATGGAACATTGACCAGATAGGCAATTGGGTTCCTTTCAGAGAGAGATCTCTGAATGTGTGGAACTAGTGGAAACTGAGGTGACAACTAAGGGGTCATGGTCAGGGCTACTCTCTGGCAGCTACCCAATGGTCTTTCAGAAGAAACTACCTCCTGATAGCCCATCTGGGTAATCAGCAGAAAATCTCCACATCTTCTCCCTATCTGGACTCCTCAATGAGGTGAAAGGGGAACTCTATCAGTGATCATCAGATATCCTCTGTCTCAGAGTGTTCTGAAGCGATGGCATCAGAGCCCTTTCTTAAACCTCCATCAAGAGTTGAGCTACAGGTTTGGACTGCTTTCTCTACTGGTAGTAAGACCTCTAGACAAATGTAGAAAATGAATCTCTGATAGATTAAAAGCTACCTGAACCTTTTCTCGCCCCCAGGCATGGTCTTCATTATTTATGTGTGTGCCTTTTCCGATAGCTTATGGACTTTGGAATGTTGACTGTGGACTTATAAAATGCTCTATGGTGATTTTTTTGGGATGTTTAACCAGGTTGAGCTTTATTTGGATTTTTTCTCTCTGCTAGTGAGTTAAAAACTTCCATTAAACTTTTCTCCTACTTGTTGGGAGTTCATTTGAGAATGCATTGTGGTCAGACCACTCCTCCTTCCAGAAAGTCAGACTAAGACAAATTTGCAACAACTATTTTGTCTTACACTAGGGAAAATAGCAATCAGTAGTTTGCATTTGTTTTTTTTATTCATTAACTAGAATATGGGACTATCTTAGAGAGCCTTTTTCTTCATTCATGTGTGGATAGGAAGTCAATAAAGGTACCTTTACTATGTAGATTGTGGCTGCTATGAGGACTTACGAATTTCAAATACTTAGTAAATTTAAAATGGACCTTAAAGGAGTAACCTTGTCTTGCTAATAAAAGTTGCCTAAATGACTGGATAGACAATAGAAATTTCTTACAGCTTTCTCAGCCCTAGTTCCCAGGGCAGAATCTCTGAACAATCTCTGGAAGTGATCTCTTTTACAGGAAAAGTGCCCTAACTTGACTGGTGACTTTTTTCCTCTCTCTCTTTCAAGGAACTAGATAGCAGTGGTTTAAATCTCTTGGTTTGCTAGCAATGCTTCCTTCTCTAATCATGATTGTTATGGCTGAAGTCAACTGTAACTTGCACTTTAAGAGTACCTACTGGAGTAAGGATATGAGTTACCTGAGGAAGATAAGATTGTGTGCTGGTAAAGGGTAGATAGTCCAGTCCAGTTTTATTTTTTGGTTCTCTCTCCAGATGATAGCTACCTACCCTGGCGTGGTATAAACCTTGAGGGATGCCCTGGGGACACCCTAGGGGGCACAGGAATCAAGCACAGACTTACGGGATGCCGTATTTGTTTCTCTTGTTTCAAATTGGGGCGCTATATCTGAACCTCTTACTCCTTTGGAATATATTAAGGAGCAATTTAGTATTTCTCTACACCCATGTGTAGTGTGCCTACCTCCTAAAACCAAATACACAGAGCCAAGTACTATGATGCTATCTCACAATTAGAATTATACTGTAAAAGAGAGAAAATGGTCAAAATAATCTTATGTTGAGATTTTCTTTACATTAAGAAGCAATTCTTGCTTTTGTTCAAATATAAATGTGGGCCATAGAAAAATGAGAGACACCTCACCCTTAAGGCATTCAGTAACTCTAAGCCTAAGGCTGCTCCTCACTCTAACCATCCGGTGCTGAGGGTGAAATTTTTAGGCCAGCTATAATTAATCTCCATGAGGCTATATCCATGTTTAGCTAAGTTGTTGAGGTCCCTCAAAGACAACATCTCTTGAAAGAAGTAAATGGCAAATATTGGACTACCTATGTTCATGTTTTTGTTTTTTTTCTCTCAGTAATCTTAGACAGATCAAATGAGACCTTGAAAAGTTTTCAGATGACCCTGATATGTACATTGAGGTCTTTAGAGGACTTACTCAGACCTATGGACTAGATTAAAAAGATGTAATGTTGCTCTTAAACATTGATTTCTAATGAGATACAAGTAGTATTAAAAGCTGCTACTACATATAGAGACAGATATTTTAATTAACAACTGGTTTCTACTAGAACACAAACAGTTCCTATACAAGACCCCCACTGCCCTGCCAATCAGGAGATTAAATAGAAGACATTTTCAGGTATGTATTCTTGAAGGTTTAAGAAAATTGAGAACTAAGTCCTTCAATTATTTTAAATTGTCAACTATTTATCAGGAAAAATAGGACATCTCTATATCCTGATTTGATAAAAGGAAATAGTTTTTCCCAAGTCACAGTCTTCCAGTATGTAGACGGTATGCTGTTATGTGCCACCTCAGAAGAGCTTTCTAGCCAAGACATCTGGTCTGCTGAATTTTCTAACAGACAGGGGTTATAATATTTCTAGATCTAAGGCACAACTTTACAGCCTTAAGGTGAACTATTTAGGCCTAATTACATCTAAGGGAACCCAAAGACTGGGGGAAGGAAGAATTAAACCAACTCTTTCCTTTCCATGTCCCAAGACTCTAAAACAGCTAAAGAGATTCTTGGAAATTACAGGCTTTTGTGGCCTTCAGATAGCAAGATATAGTGAGATTGCGTAACCCAATTTAGGGTAACCCTAAAATATAGAAAAACCCAAGAGACAGACAAGTGGGGACCTCATTCCCAGACCACACTCTAGAAGTTCAAACGAGCACTTCTAAGTGCCTGCCACAGGACACTGTCTCAGTTTGTACATTAATAAAAGGTGAGACATGGCTTCGAGAGTGTTTCTACAACATCAGAGAGCTGCTCAACAGCCTGTAGGGTATTTCAGTCATAAATTAGATATTATAGATTCAGAGTAATTCATTAAAAGGGTAAGCCCTAAACAATATAGTTAGAACACTTTCTTTCTCTTTCAAGAGGCAAAAAGCAGCCATTTGGGTTCTTTGCTTATTGGTTTGATTTTTCTGCTTGGCAATGCAGTAGGAGTAAATTATAGCTTTTTTCTCTAGGGACATGTTCGCTAAGGATCACAGATCCACACTGGAAAAGCTCCTGATCTTAATTGTCCTTCTACATCTGAGATGATTAAGATTTAGTTCTTGTGCCATACTTAAAGGCACTCTTCTATCCCTTCTCCACTGCCCTTCTCCTGAGAAATAGCTGATTCAAGTTACTTCCCTTTTCTATGGCTGCTGGATTTCAAGACAAAGCTTCCAGAATGGTGAGTTTCCCCTCCCTGGAATCCTTCCAGTGTAAAGCTGACCTTCATTTATCACTGGGCCATATAGAAAACTGGTCTAGGTTTAATCCTGAAACTCTCAAAAGATAAATGTAAAAGTTTTCATTCATACTTATTTGTCTTTCAGCCCTCAGGCAAAATTAAAGAATGGTAAGTACAGCTAACCTGGCTCTGGCCACTTCCTTGCACCTCTAGTCAGCCACCACTGGCACTGGATAAGATAAAGTCTAAGGGCCACCTTATATTGGTCACAGAACAAGAGGAATAGACAGGGATGCCTTCTTTTCCCTTTGTTTCTTTTCAAAATGGGAAAAACTGTCATAGGTAGACATCTACAGCACAGCAAGTTGGAGCCTTGGCAGGCCTTCTTCCCTCACTGCTTGAAATTCATACTTAGCTCCAAAGAATGTCACCTAGTCTCATCTACATGGAAACCTGGCCTGAGCAGACACCCACTGGAGATAGTTAAAATTACCTTTAACAGTCTGCCCCTTTAGAGGAAACAGTTATATGTGGCTAAAAACAACCATGAGATGCCTGTGTAGTTGGATATTCCAGTCAGATAAACTATCAGCTTAGGGCCCATTTTAAAATGGTCTTTGCTTTCACAGGTGTAGAAGATTTTTATTCCTTTTGATTCTTATTACAAGAGATCTCTGTTAATTGATCTACAAAGTTCTGACTAGTCTTATTTATAGTTATAAACCTTAAAATTATAAAAAGTTATTATAATTCAACTTGGCCAAATACATTTGAGTGCACTCTGGTTTATAAACAAGTTGTCTTACATTTGTGTGTGTCTGTCTGTTCAATTTGTTACAACATGTACAGCTGTTACATTTGTATGAGATTTTCTTTTGGCATTTTGGATTTTTTAAAGATGTTTGCTTGTATCTATAGATAAATGTCACTAAAGACATGATCCGGTTTAGGAAAACTACTGGACAGGACTCCCCTTGGTAAATAAAGGAGCAGCTGCCTGGAAAATAATTTATTCCACCCTTTGTTCACAAAGGGGATCCTAATAATTTCCATAGCCTTGTGGGAAATACATTGCTAAACATATTATTGTGATATGTATACATTATTCATGGTCTAAGTTTTCTATGGGAAAACAAAGTTTTATTTAAAATGCTCTTGGTACAAAACAAAATTAAGGGACAAAGGGTTTCATGTAACTGATACTCATTGTTATTTCATGGGATATATATTCATGCCTTCCAGGTGTACAAGTTGATAGATTTCCCTCTCACTGACATGGCTAGTATATATAATAGCTGCCATCTTCCCACAATGCCCTGCTCTCTACCTAAAGCCACACCAAGATGGCTTCTCCCACCAAAGGACAACCTTCTTCTTCCCAGCATGCCCCGATTCCTGCAAAAATAGTAACCTAATACTTGCTCTCCTCCTAGCAACTAGTGATGTCATAGGCTCCTCCAGTCCCTAGCCACTCCCTCACTCAACCCCACCCCAGCTCCTATAAGGCCCACCCTAGCTCCTATAAGAAGCACTCCCTGCCCTAGCCATATTGCTTTTGTCTCTCGTTTGTTCAGAGATAGTCTGGCAGATTGTCCCTGCAATAAAGGCTTGTTCTGGGCTGGTCTGGTCTTGGTTTTTGGCTTTTTTACCTGACATATCTGGTGCCAAAACCCAGGAGGTAGGCAGTCAATTAAGTGACGATCCCCTGCAGGTTGGGGTCAATTGGCCTTTTGGCCACCTTCTCTGGACCACATCTACTGAGCCAGGACCCTCTCAGGGCTTTCTGCCTTTGCCATTGTTGATGCTACACATCCACACCAGTCACCAGTCTCTGGGTGAGTAGGCAGTTCAGCCTTCCTCTCATTGGGTCCTCTGCCTTGTTCTCATTCTCTCCCTCCAGGGGACTTCTCAGAAATCCAAGCGCTTGATCAGAAAGACCCCTCAGAGAGACCCCTCAGCTGCTGGTCCCAGGACCATGTCCCTGGGGGACACCTCATCAGCCTGGCTCCTCTCATTTTCTCTCTCTGGGAGACTTACTCAGAGATTGTCCAAAGAGACAAGGATGCTCCTCTCTTTTGCTCTTCTTCCAGGGAGCTGCCTTCTCCTTACCCATTCTAACAAGGGAGCCCAACAAGCCAACCCCCTCCCTCAACACCTCTAGGTTGCCTCCTGGCACAATTCAAGCCCCTTGGATTGTTGGGACCAGACTTTAAGCCAAAAAGACTTGTTTTCTATTGTAATCAGGTTTGGCCTCAATATAAATTAGGTAATTGGTCTCAATGGCCCCAAAATGACACTTTAGATTTTAACATACTGCTTGATTTACACAATTTCTGTCAACATAATGGCAAATGGTCAGAAATTCCCTACCTACCAGCCTTCTTCTACCTATACTTTCAACCCTCCCTCTGTCAAACCTGCTCATCTTCTCAGGTACTTCTAGCCCAAATTCTTTAGCCCATCCCTCCCGATTCCACCCTTCCTGACTCTGAAGCATTGGGTCCAGCAGATCACTCACCACTCGCACCTCCCCCACCTTATAACCCTGTAAGCTCTTCTTCCATCTGTTCGCATGCTTCTTCACATCTGCCATCTTGTGACCCTCCCTTGCCTCCTCCCTCATCTCCACCATCTTGCATTTCCCCACCCCACACTCATTCTCACTACACCACCCTTCCAACATCGGCCCCAGCCACACAGATACCTCTCTGAGAGGTTGCCAGGGCTGAGGGCATTGTTAGAGTACATGTCCCCTTTTCTTTCTCTGATCTTTCTCAAATTGGGAAATGCTTAGGCTCCTTCTTCTCTGATCCTGATGTCTATATCAAAGAATTTCATTACTTGGCTCTGTCCTATGATCTGACTTGACACAATAGCTATATGATGCTGACTTTTACCCTCCCCCCAGGACAAGAAAAGAGTTTGGATGGCAGCCCAGACCACAGCAGATACATTTTATGCTGCTGATAACACCAAGCCAATGGAAACACAGGCCATCCCCTGAGAAGACCCACAATGGGACTCTCAGCTAGGCCAGGCAGATAGAGGCCACAGAGACCATATGACTCTCTGTCTCAAAAAAGGTTTAAAAAAGACAGCTCACAAGTCTGTTAACTTTGATAAGACTAAAAAATAACTCAGACCCATGAAGAAAATCTGACACAGTTCCTGTCGTGGCTCACTGAGGTCCTTCAAAGATATACCAAAATTGATCCTACCTCCCAGGCTGACATGATCATCATTAACACTCACTTTATCTCTCAGTCAGCCCCTGATATTAAGAGAAACCGAAAAAAGGTTAAAGAGGGTCAAGCAGGGCTTGCACTCAGACTAAAAAAAAACTGAAAAGAAAAAGTAAGTGATGGATTAAAAACAGCTAGAAAAGCTCTGAAGAACATAAAATAAACTAGTGAGGAAAAAAACACTCCTGACTTTAAAAGCCAAGGTGAGCACCATGTTATCCCAAAACAAAGCCAGAGAAACTACAACTGTGCTCTACCTGACATCAAGAGATTTTACAAGAAAAATCAAGTTACAAATTTTAGCTAATTGATAAGTGTATTTGTTCCCATTTAAGTTGATGTTTAATTGGTGTGCTTGAAACACTTCTTGTGGATTGTAAATTCTTGAATTGTAATTATAGGGTTAACTTGCTCTTTTGTGTTCTTTGTTGATGAAAAATTCAAGGTTACTACTGTTGACAACCAGTCAAATTTTAACATGTAACAATCTGAGAACAGAAAAAAAACATAAGGGACACTTTAAAATTTTCATAGCTAAAGACAAGTTTGTTATAGACTTATAGTGAGTCAGAGGAAAAATATTAAAAAAAGCTATAAGTAAAAGAGATATATTTTTGATATGAAAGGATTTTGTATGTTTGTCTTATTAGAAGGACAAGACCAAAAGGCCTAGGTACATTGAGAAGCTATGCGGAAGTGATTTATCAAGGAAATATGTATGTTTGCTTGTTGGTTTCAAGTTTGTTATAAAAGGTTTATAGGAATTGAGTTTTCATTCTTTCTGATTCTAATTCTACAAGAAATCTCTGTTAATTGACTTGCAAAGGTTTTGACTAGTCTTATTTATAATTACAAACCTAAAAATTATAAAGAGATATTATAATTCCATTGGGCTAAATATATTTGAGTACACTCTAGTTTTATAAATTGTCTTATATGTTTGGTTTTTGTCCAATTGTACAGTGGTTTTGTTGATAGATATAGGTTATTAAGTTCAAGGCATGCTTCCCTTGGTAAACAAAGGAGTGGCTGCATGGAAATATTTTCCAGTCTTTGTTCACTAGGGGGACCTCAACAATTTTCAGTCTTACAACAGACTGACCCAATTGTTTTCATAGCCTTATAAAAGACTTACATCAATAAATATTACTTAAATGTATGATTGTACTATGTTTACCTCAGTTGTCATAAAAAGGATAAATTCTAATATGTTGTTTATGATAATAACCTCTTTTAGATTCAGGTATTTGCCTTTTTCATACACTCCAGCTATTTATGATAACAGATACATTTATGGGCTGAGATATTTTCTTTAGATGGTATTCTATCAAAAGATAATTTAGATGAAAACTTTTGGTGTTTTTTAAAAATGAGTATGTTTAACAATGGCTATTTTATATCAAGATGGCCATTTAAATGTGTTACAAAGGTAAAGTCATCATAATTGCCATGTTAAAATATTATTTGTGGCTCTTTTTCTGTTAATATTCTACAGGAATTCAACTACTAGAACAACCATGACTAATAACATAACAGTTCTCTATATTTTAAATTCCAAAATGCTTGCTATTTAGGTAAAATTGTAATATTTAAGTTCATTACTCTTGTTACAATGCTAATGCTATTGATCTTCTCTTCTGGGTGTTCAACAACTAAAGTTTGGAGACCAAAACTAGAAAGGTAACTGGGCTAAGAGGACAGCCAATATTTTGGCCCTGGCCCCTCAAGGTCAACAAAGACCCAGGACATGAGGGAACCTTCTCTACAGGGTCCTACATCTTTGGTAAGTCACTAAACCTCCTGAACAGGGAGATTGCTGGACACTAGAGGACAATGTATCATGTGCCAAAGGAGGGTCACCAAGAGGGAAAAATCTCCCACGCTTTCACTGAAAACAACTTGGTCAAGCAAGGCCATGACCCATCCTCATGGCTGACACTGACAAAGGAGCAGAGAGGCTCTATGCATGTTTCCAAAGTTATGGCCTGATGAGACTTAACTGACCTTGAAGATAGTAAGAGGTTCATACTGATTGATACAGGTCTCACTTTAACTTGGTCTTAAATACCCAGTAGAAAAGAATAACCATAACAAGTATAAAATAATGCCATAGTAACAAAGCTAGATATAAAAAGGGGCTCCAGTCACTGACCCCTTCCGGCAATTTCTAGCTACACCACTAGCTGACCACAGTTATGGATCATTAGGAAAAAAATACAGTTAAAATCTATAACAGCTCAGCTAGAGTTTTAAATTTCTTAGGGAGATTTGATCTTCAAATTGTCTCTTATCTTCTTACAGCTAAAACTAGAGAGATTTATAACAAAGTTTCAGACTTGCACATAAACTTTATCAATGAAAGAATCTTAAGAACCAGCAGGTTACAATCACTATTTCAATTTCTAAATGTAACTTTCTCCCCAACCTGCCCTTCCATCCTAGTGTGCTTATGCTTAGATTATACATGCTCTAATTTCTTAAAAGTTTTGTTTATTCTTGCCTAGAGGCTGCCAGACTCCAAGCAGTCATACAAATGGAACCAATGACAAATGTGCTAGAATTTTTTTACTGGGATTCACCAGACTGACCTTGTAATTGGCTCATAACTGCTAAACTATACAGTAGGACTTGTATGTTGGATTCTGAAGTCCTCTGGACCATCTTCTTATCCTGTTTGTGGGAGGGTATTACTAGTTCCTGGTGCAAACCTTTATTGGCTATATTCATAGCAGTCCTGATGACCTTATTATTTGGCCTATATATTCTTAACTGTTTCTTTGGTTTTTGTCTCCTCCAGACTCAAAACTACATGGCTACCAAGATGACAATGCCTGGCACCTATAGAGGGCCTTTAGATAGACCCTCTGAAGAGTAACTCTAACTGCTGATGACAACAATGACCCTCTTCAGCTGGAAGTAGCCAGACGTCTTTTTGCCCTTTGCCCCCTCACAGCAGTTAGGGCTACTTCTTCAGAGGGGCGATTATTGCAGATAAGTTAATTGAATATCTTGTGTGCAGTTAACAGGACCAGCCCTCCAGAAGCTAACACAGCAAGGAGCCAGCCAGAATTGTAAAAGGAGAAAAACCACACACCCTAGTGCTTCCCCTGGGGATAAATAGCAGTGATTGATATTCTAAATATGTATCAATCACCTGGGTGGGGTGTCAAGGTCTTAACCCAGCCTCTCCAGGAAATATCCCTGACTTCCATTCTTACTGAAAATCCTTGTATGCTTCCTATGTGACTTGCTTCCCCATTTGACCCACATATAATCAATATTATCTGGGTGACTGTACTTGTAATCTTATTGGTTGGACATGGTTTTGTCCCACCTCATGTCCAGCTTGTAAACTTCCATTGGGTCTTATAGTTTTGTCCCAGTTTGTACCCGCCTCACCACATGGCTTTGCTGTATAAACCATCTTTGAAAAGTAGGATGAGCGGCCAACCCACTTTCTGGGCCCCCTTCTGACAGACAGGAGCTCCTTAGACAGGAGCTTTCTTTCTCTCAATAAATTTTTCCTACTCTTAAAAAAAAATAAAGTCAACTGTGCCTACAACTTGGCCTAATTTGGTCAGGATTTAAAGTCAAAGCTGAAACACTTCATTGGTCAATATCATGACCTTAAAGGGGTCAGGGACCAGAGATATCTCTACACTTCAGTCTCCATAGTAGGAAGTAGAATTTGCTCAACACTTAGACCAGAGGATTTCTTCACAAACAGAAGGGGTGGTAGGAATTCAGACAGCAAAAGTCAAATTACCATAACAAAAAACCTCAAGAAATAAATTCAGCCGAAATAAGTAATTCTCCTTGTGTATGGAAAGTGAATTTATGAATTATCATTAATATGCTCAGTAAAACTTAAGTCTCACTAACTTCTTTGAAATCAGATTGTGTGTGACTGAATTTATATCATTAAATATTTCAAATTTGAAAAAGTATTTCTGATTTTAATGAGTCAAATAAAGGAGGTCATACTTCTTCTCAAAGTATTCAGTGTTAATAGTTTGGTATATTTTTCTGTACCGGGATAATATTTTAGAAGCTTCTCTATAAAAACAATTTCAAAATTATAAAGAAAATCCTCCATCAATTCTGTTACTTTAATTGTTATCAATTTTAATTTAGAAGTGTCTATAAAATATAATGATGTTATAAATTAAATAACCATAGCTGAGACAAGGAGGACAAGTTTTTTTGTTTTTTATTGTGGTAAGAACACTTACTGAGATGTACTGTTTTAACACATCTTTAACAATAGGCACAATGTTATGCAGAAACTCCAATTCTTATGTTTTCAATTACTAAGAAAAGAAATAACTTAATTCTTAGAATAGCTTCAACAAATAACAGAAAAGTCTTTGTTATAATATTCAGACAGTGATAGTCAACATTTTTTTAATAGAAGAGGAAGACAGCCACAGAACCCCACAATTTATGTTAATTTAAATGTCTCTACACCAAAATTTAAAACACATTTTCGTTACCATTTGCCATGTCATCAGTTTCAAAGGTTAGAAAAATGATGTACACTGTGCTGAAAGCTTTCAAGTTTCATTTTTTATATGTAATGAAATGTGAAAATGATAATACAGTTTAAGTGAACTCTATGGGATGAAGGGACTATATGAAACCTCATTACATCAACTGACAGTCTTTTAACCAAGAGAAATGTATACACGAACAACATTGCTGAATTTTGACTCAGGGGTTGGCAGACACAGAGCAATGGAGAACTAGGAAAATTTAAAAGTGAGTTGTAATCTAATTTGGATTGACTCTCAGTGGAGAATGACAGAAGATTAATTACTCACTTTTATAGGTTGCAGTCTCTTTTTCCAAGAATCTCAGCTTATGCATCAGTACAGATTTTAAACTATTCAGTAAACATTAATTACTTTCTGACAGAATTTGTGATATGGATAATATTCAAATCCTAAGGGGAAGATATATCTAGCATTATATAACTCAGCTATTATTTTATTCATTCTATTTTGTCCTCCTTGAATTATAATTAACATTTTAATTAATAACTATGAGCACCCACTGAATACGTAATATTAAGCCATGAAGATAGGTGATTAATTCAACTACCATACAATGAAATGCATCCTAGATGATTATATTGGAGGGAATTTGATATAATCAGGCAGCTCTGTGAATTATCTCAATCTGGCATATTGCTACTCTCTTCATCCTGCATCAATCACAAATGCTAAAATCAGGCATGCCAAAATAAACTGTAATTCCAGCTGTTTTGGTATCGATGCCCTCCACCTAGTCAGTATAGAACATTTTGCTTCATTAGACACTGAGGAGCACCTTAAACATAGAACAACCAACTATATGTGGGGGTCTTTATTTCCCACACTACTATGTACACCAGAAGGCAAAGAAAAACATCAATAAGAACAAAAGCAGCTAACATCTTCTTTTTCAGCATTTTCTTGGTAGTGAGAAGTCACACTGAAGGTGTATTAAGAAGACATTACCACTGAGCAAACATGGAGAAGTGACCTCTTACAAGCACAACTCAGAAGAGCTGATTTAGTTTTGAGGCTCCTGTGTGTGTTTCCAACCCTCACAGTAGATGCTCACTTCATCCCACTAATTATTTTATATATTTATTGTGGACATGAAGCTTCATGGTGCCTCCCCTCAATAATCTAGTGAGGGTAGGCAGTTCATAAACAGATAAATAAATAAATAAATAAATAAATAACAGAGAATGGTCAGTACAATGGAGCAAATAAGTCAGCACGGGGGTTGGGTATATTGAATGCATACCTTTAAATAGGATGGTCAGGGGAGGACTTGCCATGAAGATGGCATTTAAATCAAGACTTGCAAGAAGAGAAGGATCAAATTTTATCGATATCACAATTAATTTATTAAGAAATTATTAATAATAAAATGGATGATTGAATTTGTATGACTGGAGGTGAAATGCGTAATATGGATTAGTGTAGGCATCATAGAAATTACTAACCTAATAACTATAATACTGTTAGTGCTTTTGATAGAAGTATTCAGTTTACAATGTGAAGCAGATTTTATACAGTGACTGTAAACTATTAATCAAATAACAGAGACTGGAATAAAAACTGTGGAATAAGAAAGCAATGTAACACAAGTATGGTGTGTTAAAAATTATGATCAAAATATAGTGCTGTAAGTTAACCAAGCAGAAGACAGCAATTTTTAAAGGTAATGATTTATAATAGTTTGAAATATACATGCAGTTCAATATTAGAAGACCATTAGTCTTCATGAATATAAATCTACCATTAGAATTTTTAGAGGCAACTGTGTTAGCTGGAGCAGAGACCATGTAACTATGGAAAATCAGAAATCTACATGTAGAAGGTCTTGGGAATAGTGAATCATCATTTAGAGCGCATTACCCAATAGATGTAAATTGGGAAGTTCATAATACTCTTTATCAAGAGATATTCTAAACTTATATAAATAGGCTTTCATTTCCTTTGTCAGTTTTCTTGTTTTTATATTTTATTTTATATTTGAAAGTTAATGGAGTATAAGACTCAAATTCTGATTTGATCATGTGGATCTAAATTAATTGGATTGTACTCATGAAAGGAGAGAATATTTCAGGTCATATGAGTAATGAATAACTGATTGGTAAAAACTCAGATTATTCTAGTGGTTTCCTTAGTTTTCTAAAACTTGGAGGCATTCAAATACATAGCTCATAGTGGTTCTTTTTAGATTCATTTTATTTTTATCATTATCTTACAAAATGTCTTGTAAACCAACTACCATTGTTGGTACAATTCCCTAGGCATCAATTCAATTTAATTTTTAGAAGTTTTAATTACATTGAATACAGGATATCTAAGCCTTAATTAACTTGAAAATAGAATAATTAATGAAAACTTTAATTTGACATTAACTTTAGTAATGAGAGATGCTGTGAAAAGTATATTTATGGATTTCAATGAACAGATACTTTAGCAGAGAGAAAATATCTTTTCTGCCTTAGCAGATTTAATTTGCTATAAATACTTCATGAATTCAGTCTCCAAAAAAAGATAGTAATGGCTTCTCTACCCCTAGCTGTCCCAGAAACCATACAAACCATGAAAGAGAATGGGGTTGGGAAGAGATTGCACAAGCATCTTCTACAAAACAAGGAAGCAAGGAAGTTCTGGAAACTGTGTAAGTGTAACCAAAGCAAGCACTTGCGGATACTTGAGGAATGTAGAAGAGAAGCTGCTGGGCCTTGTGTCATGGGGTGATGGGGCGCTCTGACTGGAAACAGCGAGCATTAATAGGAAATAATCTACCTCAGAATGAGAGAGCCCTACAGGATGTAGGAATTTTAAAACTGAATTTAAAGAAATTCCCAAAGTAAGCACTTGAATAGAAGATATGTGATTAGAACATACAGTGTATTCTCAAATTTTTACTTTTTACTTTGTAAAATTATTTTGGTAAAGACATGTTGTCCTCAATCCTCCTCAAAATATTCTTCCTTGCTTTGAACACCCTTATCTCATTGTTCTTGCCACTTTCTGAAGCACGCTGGAACTGCTGTGAACATCTGTAGTTGGACTGCCTTGTTGTCTTGAACCCAAAAAGTTTAACTTTCAGTTATTCTGGTTTTAAAAAGAGCCAAAAGTTCATGGTGTCAAGAAGACACTCATGAAAGAGGATTTTCAGAACAGCTTCAGAAAGTGGCAAGGATGATGGGATAAGTGAGTTTGAAGGGAGGAAGAATATTTTGAGGGGGATTAACGGCAGTGTCTTTTAACGTACGACATTTTTAAAAAAATGTAACATTAACCACAGTTTTCTATCATACCACATATACTCCAGAGTAAAATAATATTATGTAAAGAAGGCGTTATTTTAAAAGGACAGTAGAATAATCAGTTATTCAACCAGAAGATAGAAGGGATAAAAGTTTATAAAATGTATGAAAATGGAAATAAATAGGATCAAAATAGAGTACATATAAAAATTTAGGAGAGAAACATAATTTACAAATACATCTGAAACTTGTGATTTTTTCTTAGCATGTTTTTAGAGAGTAGGGATTGGGAGAAGGATAATAAAATAGAATATAAACTTCCTGTGTAATAATGGAAA